AATAAATCCAGGTTTGTTAGTCCCTTGAAAAAATCTTCATTGATTTTTCAACCTCAGTTGGTCCTCTTCTTATCTCTTATAAAAAGTCCGCATATGGTGATCCTTTAAAAACATTCTTTAAAAAATTCCACGTTTATTTTCCCTTTAGAAAAATCTATTATAAAAAATCCGCATTTAGTGATCCTTTAAAAATATTCTTTAAAAAATTCCACGTTTGTTGGTCCATTGAAAAAATCTTCCTTAAAAAATCCACATTTGTTGATTCTTGAAAGAGAATTTTTTTAGAAACTCCCCATTTATTCGTCCTTTGAAAATATCTTCTTTAAAAAACATGCCAGAGGTAATTTTAACCTGTCAATAAAATTATATTTTCTCTCTTCTTCCTCCTTTTTTAAATTACCCCTTTCGAAAGAAGTTAAATGACTCTGACATAATGCGATTCTTAATTTTTGCCTTCAATTACGGGATTAAATTGAAAGGCCAATATTATTATGAATTTCCAATGAAATTAGGTGGCGGAAGTGCAGTCGCCTTTCCTTTACATTGCATCCTTTCTTACAATTCTATAAAAAGGGAATTACACATTTACCTGATATGTGTGTGCGTGAGTGTGTGTGTTGAGGAATTTTTCGCAACACAATCAACAAGAACGACAACAACAAAAACAGCACCAGCAGAATTTCCAATTCATTACATTTTGAATGAAGTTTACGATTTACAAGGACGTGGTTGAGGGGAGGGGTTCCGAAATATTTTTGACGAAAAAAAATTAAAGTTTTGCAAAAGTTTTTTTTTTTTTTGAAAGGACCAATAAACGGGTATTTTTTAAAGAAGATTTTTTCAAAGGATTTTTGAAGACGATTTTTAAAGTTTCAATAAACGTGGATTTTTTTAAGAACATTTTTTCGAAGGACGAAATGACCAATAAACGTGGATTTTTAAAAGGATTTTTTCGAAGGACGAAATGAACAATAAACGTGGATTTTTTAAAGGATTTTTTCAATAGACGAAATGACCAATAAACGTGGATTTTTTAAAGGATTTTTTAGAAGGACGAAATGACCAATAAACCTGGATTTTTTAAAGGATTTTTTCGAAGGACGAAATGACCAATAAACGTGGATTTTTTTAAGAACATTTTTTAGAAGGACGAAATGACCAATAAACGTGGATTTTTAAAAGGATTTTTTCGAAGGACGAAATGAACAATAAACGTGGATTTTTTAAAGGATTTTTTCGAAGGACAAAATGACCAATAAACGTGGATTTTTTAAAGGATTTTTTAGAAGGACGAAATGACCAATAAACGTGGATTTTTTAAAGGATTTTTTCGAAGGACGAAATGACCAATAAACGTGGATTTTTTAAAGGATTTTTTCAAAGGACGAAATGACCAATAAACGTGGATTTTTAAAAGGATTTTTTAGAAGGACGAAATGACCAATAAACGTGGATTTTTTAAAGGATTTTTTAGAAGGACGAAATGACCAATAAACGTGGATTTTTTAAAGGATTTTTTCGAAGGACGAAATGACCAATAAACGTGGATTTTTTAAAGGATTTTTTCGAAGGACGAAATGACCAATAAACGTGGATTTTTTAAAGGATTTTTTCGAAGGACGAAATGACCAATAAACGTGGATTTTTTAAAGGATTTTTTCGAAGGACGAAATGACCAATAAACGTGGATTTTTTAAAGGATTTTTTCGAAGGACGAAATGACCAATAAACGTGGATTTTTTAAAGGATTTTTTCGAAGGACGAAATGACCAATAAACGTGGATTTTTTAAAGAATTTTTTTCGAAGGACGAAATGACCAATAAACGTGGATTTTTTAAAGGATTTTTTCGAAGGACGAAATGACCAATAAACGTGGATTTTTTAAAGGATTTTTTCGAAGGACGAAATGACCAATAAACGTGGATTTTTTAAAGGATTTTTTCGAAGGACGAAATGACCAATAAACGTGGATTTTTTAAAGGATTTTTTCGAAGGACGAAATGATCAATAAACGTGGATTTTTTAAAGGATTTTTTCGAAGGACGAAATGACCAATAAACGTGGATTTTTTAAAGGATTTTTTCGAAGGACGAAATGACCAATAAACGTGGATTTTTTAAAGGATTTTTTCGAAGGACGAAATGACCAATAAACGTGGATTTTTTAAAGGATTTTTTCGAAGGACGAAATGACCAATAAACGTGGATTTTTTAAAGGATTTTTTCGAAGGACGAAATGACCAATAAACGTGGATTTTTTAAAGGATTTTTTCGAAGGACGAAATGACCAATAAACGTGGATTTTTTAAAGGATTTTTTCGAAGGACGAAATGACCAATAAACGTGGATTTTTTAAAGGATTTTTTCGAAGGACGAAATGACCAATAAACGTGGATTTTTTAAAGGATTTTTTCGAAGGACGAAATGACCAATAAACGTGGATTTTTTAAAGGATTTTTTCGAAGGACGAAATGACCAATAAACGTGGATTTTTTAAAGGATTTTTTCGAAGGATGAAATGATCAATAAACGTGGATTTTTTAAAGGATTTTTTCGAAGGACGAAATGACCAATAAACGTGGATTTTTTAAAGGATTTTTTCGAAGGACGAAATGACCAATAAACGTGGATTTTTAAAGGATTTTTTCGAAGGACGAAATGACCAATAAACGTGGATTTTTTAAAGGATTTTTTCGAAGGACGAAATGACCAATAAACGTGGATTTTTTAAAGGATTTTTTCGAAGGACAAAATGACAAAATAGCGTGGATTTTTTAAAGGATTTTTTCGAAGGACGAAATGACCAATAAACGTGGATTTTTTAAAGGATTTTTTCGAAGGACAAAATGACAAAATAGCGTGGATTTTTTAAAGGATTTTTTCGCAGGTCGAAATGACTAATAAACGTGGATTTTTTAAAGGATTTTTTCGAAAGACGAAATGACCAATAAACGTGGATTTTTTAAGAACATTTTTTCGAAGGACGAAATGACCAATAAACGTGAATTTTTAAAAGGATTTTTTTCGAAGGACGAAATGAACAATAAACGTGGATTTTTTAAAGGATTTTTTCGAAGGACGAAATGACCAATAAACGTGGATTTTTTAAAGGATTTTTTCGAAGGACCAATAAACGTGGATTTTTTAAAGGATTTTTTCGAAGGACCAATAAACGTGGATTTTTTAAAGGATTTTTTCGAAGGACCAATAAACGTGGATTTTTTAAAGGATTTTTTCGAAGGACGAAATGACCAATAAACGTGGATTTTTTAAAGGATTTTTTCGAAGGACGAAATGACCAATAAACGTGGATTTTTTAAAGGATTTTTTCGAAGGACGAAATGACCAATAAACGTGGATTTTTTAAAGGATTTTTTCGAAGGACGAAATGACCAATAAACGTGGATTTTTTAAAGGATTTTTTCGAAGGACGAAATGTCCAAATAACTTGGATTTTTAAAGGATTTTTTCGAAGAACAAAATGAAAAAATAGCGTGGATTTTTTAAAGGATTTTTTCGCAGGACGAAATGACTAATACACGTCAATTTTTTTAAATCGACGAACGAAATGATTTTTATAAAATTTAAAATGACCAATAAACGTGGAGTTTTTAAAGGATTTTTTCGAAGGACGAAATGACCAATAAACGAACGAAATGATTCTTTTAAAATTTAAAATGACCAATAAACGTGGAGTTTTTAAAGGATTTTTTCGAAGGACAAAATGACAAAATAGCGTGGATTTTTTAAAGGATTTTTTCGAAAGACGAAATGACCAATAAACGTGGATTTTTAAAGGACTGTTTCGATTGACGAAATGACCAATAAACATGGATTTTTTAATGACGAATAAGCGTGGATTTTTTAAAGGATTTTTAAAAGGACGATTTTTAAAGATTTTTTAAAGGACCAACAAACGTGAATTTTTTTAAAGGACCAACAAACGTGATTTTTTTTAAAGGACCAACAAACGTGAATTTTTTAAAAAGATTTTTTTCAAAGGACGAAATGACTACTAAAAATTATTTTTTCAAAAAAAAAAACTCACAGGACCAAAAAACGTGGGTTTTTATAGATTTTTCCAAAGGACGAACAAACGTGGATTTCAGCGGACGTAGATTTTAAAGAGGACCAAAGAGAATTTGTCATCGAACGTGGTTTTTAAAGTTTTTTTTTTCAAAGGACCACAGAGGATTTTACATCGGACGTGGATTTTTAAAATTTTTTTTCAAGGGACCAAAGCCGATTTTTCAAAGAATCAACGGACGTGGGTTTTTTCAAAGGTCCAAAGAGGATTTTTCAAAGGACCAACAAACGTGGATTAAATAAAGAGGTTTTTTTTAAGAACCAGAAGAAACCTCCAAAGGACCATAGAGGATTTTTTAAAGAGGTTTTTTCAAAGGGCCAAAGAGGATTTTTCAAAGGACGTGGACTTTTCAATGGACGTAGATTTTTTAAAAGAAGAATTTTCAAGGGACCACATAGGATTTTTCAAAGGACGACGATTTTTTAAAGGACGTAGATTTTTTAAAGGGGAATTTTTAAAAGACCAAAAAGGATTTTTCGAAGGGAGTAGATTTTTTAAAAGAAGAATTTTTAAAGGAGGATTTTTCAACGGACGTGGATTTTTTAAAGAACGTAAACTTTTTAAAAGAAGAATTTTCAAGGGACCAAAGGGGATTTTTCAAAGGACGTGGATTTTTTAAAGAACGTAGATTTTTTTAAAGAGGAATTTCCAAAGGACCAAAGATGATTTTTCAAAGGACCAACAATTTTTTTAAACAGCTTTTTTCAAAGGATCACTAAACGTGTTTTTTTTAGAGAATTTTTTAAATGACTCCTCTGTCCCACCATTTATATGTATTCGGAGATATGACTATGTGTTATCTTTTCTCTTCTCGTTTTTTATTTCGCCTGCAATCTATTTTATTAATGTGCAATTGTATTTGTAACTCATGTATGTGTGCGTGTGTGTGTTTTTTTTTCTCATTTCATTCCAGCTCAATTCGCGCGATGAACCAGAAAAAACCTTCAAAGTTGCCATGCCGGACAATGCTTATTCAACGGTTTATCTGCGCGATGCCATGTCGGTGGAAGAGTTTCTGGCCAGTGCCTGCGCCCGACGTAATCTCAATCCCATGGAACACTTTGTGCGTGTTAAAAAGCGACGTGACATGGAGGATCACAATTACTTTGTGCCACATCGCAACGATTTGATAGAGAATTATGTAAGTACAAAAGCAACAACAACAACAAGACTGGCTAACAAGATTGGCCAACAATCAACAAATTAATATCCTGTCAAAGAAGCCAAAGGAGCGTACGTGTGTGTGCGATAAGGGTGGAGGGAGGGTGATAGGATATGCAGAGGTGGCTAACTTTAATATTCTCCAGCTAAACGTTATGAAACTCAACAGGTCAACTTTTTTTCCCGACACCCTGGAGCAATGACTTTGTCTCAAAGCTTTCTTTTCTTTTCTCTCCTCTTTTTCTATTTTTTTTTTGACGAACATGAGGTGTTGAAGTCAAAAGAAAGGAAAACTTTCCAGACTGTCATTGTTGTTTTGTTTCTGTAATGGCTGGTGTCCATTATTTCATTGCTATGCTGTCCGGCTGGCTGGCTGACTGGCTACCGGACAAGTTGAACAATAATGACTGGTCAGCATGTCAAAAGGATATCATGATTGTGGCCAGGACATTGTTGCAATATGCGTCTTTGTTGATGGACCCTATCTGTTGCACTTTCCACATCCGCAGCACACGTCTCTACAAAAGGAGAAAATGTTATTTGTTTGATAACAGCGATGTTACCTTCCTCAGACACCCGCCACACCTCCCTCCCTCTCCACAACACTTCTCTCTCTATCTCTTTGCCACCTAAAAAGAAAGTCGGGTCAAAAGGTTTGCACTTTGATCTGCCAGCAACAGCGCTTTGTTATTTGTCCCCCATCGTCAACGCCGTTGCCATTTCATCTTTGTCATCGGTCCAAGCCACTTACTCACTCATTTACTCATCCGCCCAGCCCACTCACTTTATATACGTTTTTCTGTCCATTTATTAGCTTCTTCTCTGAAGCAACAGTCCGAGGACAAAAATGCAAATGAAATCTCATAGCTGATGACAAGACCACATAATGGACCCATACGAGTAGAGGAGGGTCCATCCTCCATCCAAGCGAGCATGGTCTGTTGCATTTTTTTTTTTTTTTTGCTGTTGTTACAGAAGTGGTCGTTAGCTGCAGATGAAACAGGACATTGATTGTGTTCTTGTTTTTTTTTTTGAGCTATAACAACTAAACTTTTTAACGGAAGTTAGCCATGAGAATTTCGGTGGTGGCGGTGGTGAAGGACAATAGGGCCTTCACAATATGCTTATGTGTGAATGGCGGAATTAAAACAAACACTTTTGGCAGGATAATTGTCATAGGGAAAAGGACCAAAAACAAAGGGAAAAAGGGAATGCTCCACAGGTTTACCTTTTTAAAAGGATTTTTTTAAAGGACCACCAAATGTGAATTTCTTTTAAAGATTTTTTGAAGGGCCAAAAAAAGCGAGGACGTTTAAAGAAGGTTTTTCGAAGAATGTATTCAATATACCTGATTTTTTTAAATAACGTTTTTTCAAACGACAAACAAACGTGGACTTTTTTAGAGAAAATTGTTTCCAAAGGACCAAAAAAGTCGATTTTTAAGAAGATTTTTTAAAGAATAATTTTTTTGTAGGACCAGAAAACCTGAATTTTTTAGAGAAGATTTTTTAAAAGGAAATTCTTTTAAGGACCTACAAACGTTGATTTTTCAATGAAGATTTATTTTAAAGGACCTACAAACTTGAACTTTTTAAAGAAAAAATCCTTTAAAACTTTCCGTCCTTAAAAAAAAAAAATCTTAAAAACTCAAGACCTTCGTCATGGTCATTTCATCCTTCGAAAAAATGCTTTAAAGCTCCCCGTCCTTAGAAAAAAACTTTAAAAACTCCACGTCCCTCGTCATGACCTTTTCGTCCTTCAAAAAAAATCCTTTAAAAATCCCCGTCCTTAGGAAAAACTTTAAAAACTCCTCGTCTTTAGATATAATCCTTTAAAAATTCACGTTTGTTGATCCATTATTGGCAATTGCATACCTTGAAAAAAATTCTTTAAAAAAATCTTGTTTATAGGTCTTTTTATCCTTTGAAAGAAAAATCCTTTAAAATATTTCACGTTTGTTGGTCAATTATTGGTCATCTCGTCCTTTGAAAAAAAAATCCTTTAAAAATCCCCGTCCTTAGAAAAAAAAAAACGTTAAAAACTCCACGTCCTTAGTCATGGTCATCTCGTTCTAGGAAAAAAATTCTTTAAAAAATCCCCGTTCTTAGAAAAAAAAACTTGAAAAACTCCGATTCCTTAGAAATAATCGTTTCAAAAATCCACGTTTGTTGATTGATAATTGGTCATTACATCTTTCGAAAAAATCCTTTAAAAAATCCAGGTTGTTGATCAATAATTGGTTATTTCGTCCTTCGAAAACAAATCCTTTAAAAAACCTACGTCCTTAAAAAATCCTCGTACTCCGCAAAAATCCGTTAAAAAATCCAGGTACTTCACAAAAACCCTTTAAAAAATCCACGTCCTTAAAAAATCCACGTACTTCACATAAATCCTTTAAAAAATCCACGTCTTGTGAAAAAAAAATCCTTCAAAAATCCACACCGTAGGAAAATATCCTTTAAATAATCCACGTCCTTTTTAAAAAAATCCTTTAAAAATCCACACATTACAAAAATATCCTTTAAATAATCCACGTCCTTCGCAAAAATCCTTTAAAAATCCACACCAATAAACATATCCTATAAAAATCCACACCAATAAACATATCCTATAAAAATCCACACCTATAGATATATCCTATAAAAATCCACGTCCTTTGAAAAAATCCTTTTAAAATTCCACGTCCTTTGAAAAAATCCTTTTAAAATTCCACGTCCTTTGAAAAAATCCCTTTAAAATTCCACGTCCTTTGAAAAAATTCTTTAAAAAATCCACGTCCTTTGAAAAAATTCTTTAAAAAATCCACGTCCTTTGAAAAAGTCCTTTTAAAAATCCACGTCCTTTGAAAAAATCCTTTTAAAATCCACGTCCTTTAAAAAAGATCCTATAAAAATCCACGTCCTTTAAAAAAGATCCTATAAAAATCCACGTCCTTAGAAAAAAATACTTTAAAAGATCCACGTCCTTAGAAAAAAATCCTTTAAAAATCCACGTCCTTAGAAAAAAATCATTAAAAAATCCACATCCTTAGAAAAAAATACTTTAAAAATTCAACGTCTTTAGAAAAAATCCTTTAAAAATCCACGTCCTTAGAAAAAAAATCCTTTAAAAATCCACGTCCTTAGAAAAAAAATCCTTTAAAAATCCACGTCCTTAGAAAAAAAATTATTTAAAAATCCACGTCCTTAAAAAAATCCTTTAAAAATCCACATCCTTAGAAAAAAAACGTTAAAAAATCCACATCCTTAGAAAAAAACGTTAAAAAATCCACGTTTTTTGAAAAAATCTTTTAAAAATCCACGTCCTTTGAAAAAATCCTTTAAAAATCCAGGTCCTTAAAAAAAACCTTTAAAAATCCACGTCCTTAGAAAAAAAAACGTTAAAAAATCCACGTCCTTTGAAAAAATCTTTAAAAAATCTACGTCCTTTGAAAAAATTCCGTCCTTAGAATAAATTCTTCATTTCGACCTTTGAAAAAAAAAATTTAAGTCCACGTTTATTGGTCATTTTGTCCTATGAAAATTGGTCATTGATCCTTGACAATATTTTCTTAAAAAATCCTCGTTTTGCAATAAACGCGGATCAAGACAACATCTTCTTTAAAAATCCGCGTTTATTGGTCATTAGATCCTTTCTTTAAAAACTCCGTAAATTGTTCATTAGATACTTTCATTAAAAAATCCTCGTTTATTGGTCGTTTAGGCCTTTCATTAAAAAAATCTTCGTTCATTGGTCGTTAGGTCCTTTCTTTAAAAAATCCTAGTTTATTGGTCATTAGATCATTTTTCTTATAAAATCCACCACCGGCCATTTGGTCCTTGACAACATCTTCTTAAAAATCAGCGTTTATTGGTCATTTGGTCCTTGACAATATTTTCTTCAAAAAATCCACGTTTATTGGTCGTTAGGTCCTTTCGTTAAAAAATCCACATTTATTGGTCATTTCGTCCTCAAAAAAATCTTGTAAAAAATCCATGACCATTAGGTCTTTTTTAAAAAAATCAACGTTTATTGATGATTTGGTCCTTTGAGTTCTTTTTAAAAAAAAATGCACGATTATTGGTAATTTTTTTTAGAAAAAAAACAAATGCTAGTCCCAAATTACAATTGAAATTTTTTTTCTGCCAAAAAAAAAAATTGCCCTCAATTTTATTTAATTAGAATGCAGTTTATTTTGTTGAGTGTCAAAAAAAAAAAAAACAAAAAACAACAAAACTGCTGTTGTTTAATTTGTCGAGTAGATTGTTGTCATCATCATCGTCCTTGATTGATGGAGAGCTATATGAGACAAAAATTCAAATAATACCGACAATAGTTTCGTACAAAATTTTAATTGAAAATCCTTTTGTTTTGCGAATCGTTTTTTTTTTTTTGCATACAATATGAAGTTATTTGTTTTGATTACAGCACAAAAAAACCAACAAAAATTAAATATGTAATAAATATTTTGCAGGCATCAGCTAGTTGTCTATGAGCAATTTTTTAGGTTATATGGCAGGCGGAAAAATAAATTTGTTGTGACTGTAATTTTAGCTCAAACAATTCATTATGGATTTTCGTTTATTTATTTTTTATTATTATTATATACAGGGTGGGATATAAAAAAACTGCAACAAAGTCAGAAGCCATAATTTTTAAATTTTTGTTTTTTTTTTTTCAATTTTATTTAATGAAAGCAAAAAATATCGGAAATAGCATTAAATTTTAGAATAAGTTTAGATTTGTTGCAAATGGTTACCTTTGGCACGAATTATGGCCTTCAAAAGGGCAAATGAAACCGTCTCACCCTGCTCGAATGTTGCTCTCCGGTATTTTGGCCCATTCCCGGCGAAGCGCTTGCTTGAGGTGTTCGACACTTTGGTATTTTTTAGTGCCAACCTTGCTTTCCAAAATAGTCCAGACACAATAGTCCAACGGATTGGTATCCGGAGATTTTGATGGCCTTTGTTCGCTGGAAATGAAGAGAGGAACCTCATTTTG